GGTGAGTTTCTTATTTCACAGTTTAACTTAGCAAAAGCCCAACTTTAAAGCTAACACATGTGCTAAGCTAACCAAGCTAATGGTAATTCGGGAACCTCCAGCTAGTGATGCTGAAGCATTCACGCTGCTGTCTGAGTCAGTGAAGCAGGACTTTCTCTGTTTAGTTCGCTCCGGTAGAAACCATTAACAGAAAAAAAACAGTAACATGACTTCATTCAAAACTGGGTCAGTAATCTTGATCTTTTTTTTCATGTTACATATTAATGAGTATTTAAAACAGCCAAGACATTAGTTAAAATTCAAGCTTTCCATCGGTGTTTGTGAGAAAAACTAAACTTTTGTTATTTGGTATTTATACCATGTTGAGTGGTCACGATTTAATATGTTAGTTACACGAATGTTACCCCTGCGAGCAAGCACTTGGTGACAGTGGGAAGGAGAGAACCCCTTTTAACAGGAAGAAACCTCCGGCAGAACCAGGCTCAGGAAGGGGCGGCCATCTGCCATGACCGGACAGGACAGAAGACAAGTTATAGAAGAGAGCCAGACATTAATAATAAATAATGAGTCAATGCAAAGACGTGTATAAATACACAGTAAGTGAAGAAGAAACACTCAGTGCATCATGGGAATCCCCCAGCAGGCTACACCTATTGCTGCATAACTACGGAAGGATTCTGGGTCACCTGATATGTTGCAATGAGAAAGTGTAGCTTCAGATTTGTAATCCAGTCTGAGTTCAGTGTGATTAAAAATACATCCAGTGAGTCTCCTGCAACCTGATGTTTTAATATATTTTCCTTTTTGGTGACCTGTCTCATTTCTCCAGGTGCCTTCAGACTTTAAAGCCCTGATCCAGAGATTTTATCATCTTCAGTCCGAGCGGGTTGAAACCTACCGGCTCTTTGAAGAGTACGTTTGAATCTCGTGATAATGCTGTTAAACACACACAGTCCTGTCTCCAGTGATTACATCATGTACACAAACAAGAGGAATCTGTATTAAATGACTAATTGCGTCCCCCCCTCCCCCCTCTGTTGTTTTTGTGATGGCTGCTGAATGTTTTCCAGGGGACACGAGGCCTACTTGAGGACAGGGCCCCATTATGACTTTGACCACTACAGGCAGCTGGTCCATGAGATAACGCAGGCGTTCTGCGGTATCTCTAAGGAAGTGCTGGAGATCAAGGGCAGGCTGCACGACGAGTTTGACAGACCAGACCTCTCCGAGCACATTGAGAAATTGCAGAACAAAGAGAAGGAGAAACTTGAAATGGTATGTAAGCACTTTCTGCATGGGTCACTTTTTAGACCGAGGCAAAGTCGAGGGGAGTCTAAAATATAATATACGTCTGTGTGGTGATGAGAGATTTCCTGAACGGGCCTTTGGCAAGAAACTATGGATGCCAGTAAACATGATCACAGTAAAGGCAACAAGGCTGTGTTATTCTCTTTGTTAAACATAAATATGTATTTTACTTTAGCGAGCCACCGACAGCATGCCTTATAGTACCTGCTCTGAACACAAAGACACACACATTGTTCGCACTCGTTCAGAACATCTGAAACGGTTTGTGCTAGAAAGCAAAACTATAAACATATAGATTAAAGAAGATTATAAATGACTGTCCAGAAAAGTTGAGCAGTTGTCAAAGAGGAATTTATGTTGTTTAATAATGTGGTGTTAAACCGTACCTGACGGATAATGTTTCAGAACTTTTTCCAAAACTGGATGCAATTCTACTGATTCACCACAAGGAGGCAGAGTTTTTGCTTTAAACGAAAATCATTTCTTAATCGTTCTTCAGCTGAAAGCAGATTTCCTCACCATCATTGTTGAGTGTCAGAAATCATTTGTAGGGCAGCAGTTTGTTATAAATCCTCCAGTTTACATCACCGATGGAGTAAAGCTGTGAGAAAAGCTTCTGGAGGGATATGTTTGAGATTTCATATTTGAGACCTGGATCTTTTGAGGTTGACTTATCATCATTTTTTCCCCCTGTCCACCTCTCACACACATACACTCTCTATGCTAAGAGTTGATTTGAAAAGGAGGAATGATCGGGTCACCGGTGTTTCTCAAGAATTGCTGTGAAGATGTGGAGATGGTCACCACACGGTGGTGCCAGCAGTCGGCCAGTGCACGCATATTTCCATCACCGTCAAAACTGGAGGACACACTTTTTCGACTTACTTTGTATTAAAATTGTATTAAAAGTAAACAGAATCATCTGCTAGGAGTTAAATTGCTTCAAAAAGGCAAAGCACCACAAACACAAGTCTTGTTTGCTGGGATGAAATCCAGCAGTGAGCTGCCATCTGTCAGCCTCCACCGGTCATTCAAAGTGACCACCCTGTAAGCTTTAGTATCACTTTAAATCAACACACTGTTTAAAGATATATGTGGTGATTTTTTCTTTTTTAATGTGAAGGGGAAAATTAGCTACAGAAACCAAAAACCTTTCTTTAAAGCAGAATGGAAACATGATAACTGCACAAGCAAGTCCTTCATCCCGAGGTAAAATGCCCAGCACAAAAACCCCTCCATAATAATGTTACCATAGTGATTTAAGTTAACGGAGTGGAGGTTTTGATTGACAGCTGTGCAGATGCAGCCTGCTGTAGCTGGAAGCTTCACCTCCACCAGTTTGAGCTACTGTAACGAACCTCTTGACCTTTTTAAAATCTTTATTATTATTAAAAATGTTGATGTCTAGGCCGGATGTTTGGTTATTAAATGATCGTTTTGTTATACCACTATGAATCATAAGAACTGTGCTTCCTTACCAGCTTACAGCAAAATAAATACCATGATGTGACCTATAACGAAGGAGAAAAGGCTAACTTAATTTTGAATGACACCATACTTAAAATCACTTGCAGAATAATTTCTCTCCTTTCCTGTGTAATACCTGAAGTCATGCACTATTAAAGTTATTTAAACACTATAGATCTGTGTTTCCTTATTCTAGTGTGCCTACCTGCAGGTATTTGTAGATAAATATAATTTTACTGTCATTTCAAATATGAAACATTGAAGTTCCTTTTAATTACAGGCAGTATTACAGAGTGTTGGACAAGTTTGACCACCTCAGTGCTTCCCACATTTTCACAGACTTCGGTACATCTGGTGTTCAGAGATGCTGCTTTGTTCTTTTGTATAAAGGTTTACATTCCTCTATAATTCAGCTCCCTTTCTTCCAGTAATGTTATAAAGCTCCCATTATCTCCGGGTTAATCATCCGCCTTTCCTCCATCCTCTGCTGATGAGTGGTTTGCATAAATCTTATCTGATGTGACCTCTCAACAGACGGCTAAGCTGCAGCTGGCCAAGCAGCAGGCCCAGGATCAGCCGGAGGACCAGAGCTGTCAAGAACAGATTCAGGAAATCAAGCATAAGTAAGAGCTGCCATTACAGCCCCTCAGTTTACTGTGCTCGCTTCCCATCAGCTCGCTGCTGAGAGGCTCAGTTCTTCTTCTAATTGATCCGATAATCTTTGTAACTGTTCCATATCAAACCAGCACAAATAAAAGTGTGTGTGTGTGTGTGTTGCTTCGTTGCCCAGGATCATCCAGAACAAAGAGGCTCTGAGTGAGATCATGCAGGACTTCAAGTATGACTCAGAGGAGTGCGACTGACAGCTCGCTCCCAGGAGGTAGCCTCTGTCTCGGACACTATGAGCTGCACTTATCGATCCCCTCCCCCTCCACCCGGCTCCACCCAGCTCGCCGCTGCAGTCTTATTCCTCCCGGAGGGCCTTTAACATCCATCCTGCGTGAGTGTTTGTCTGCAGGCATGCGTTTGTGTTACTTCAGGGCTCAAACAAAGAACTCTGCTAGCGCTGTAATGAAATGTGTATATAAAATATTCAGAAGGTGTGATCGGTTTGGAGACGCTCTCTTTGTTTGGATAGTATTTTTAAATAAAGACGCTTTACAAGACAAGTTTTGCTCTTAACTAATAACCAGCTGGTGTTTGTACACTTTACATCACACACAGTAAAAATAGATAAAATATTCACTTAAATATGCAATAAGCTAAACGACATTTGAGCTGATCTGGTGACATGCCGCAAACTTTCACTTCCAGAGACGTGTTTATCTTACATTCTGTTAAACACGAAGCAGTTTGAACTTTTTTCGAGTATAAATTTGCAGTTTTTGAAGGCGTTAATATTTTTTGTTATTGCTAACAGATCTAGCAGACAGACTGAATGAAAGGCTGCTTTGTCTCGGTTATCTCCCACTCGGGCCTTTTAAAATCAAGAGTGTGTGAGCGCACAGCCTCTGCAGTGTCCCTTGGACGGGAGTTGGACCTCTCAACACTGCGGGGACCTTGTGGACCAGTCATCTGTCAAGCTTTCTCGATGTGCGTCTTGAATTAAATGCCACAGTCACGCCGAGTTTCTGTGCTATGAATTATCTTCTTGCAGAATCTGAAAAGACAAAAGCAGATGGTTCTTACTGGGATCATTCTAGGAAAAAAAAAAGCCACCTCCACTAATCGTCACATTTCTCCGTGTGACTGCCGCTTTTCTCCTCGTTCTTATTCACCGTGTTGCCTCTCGCTGCCTTTCTCTCGAGGTAATCAATGGGAAGCTGTCACACTTTGCGGACAAAGACATTATTCAGACGACAGCTTGTCCCCTATAAAGCACAAAAAAAAATCCAGGCACCTCTGAGCTAATCGAGTCAGGCAGACCGAAGGTTTCTTCAAGTTCAAGGACTGAGCATCAGAGGACGTGAACTCCTCACAGAGACTCACAAGCACAGCAGATCTGGAGGCTTTGCGTGCCATTTGGGCCGAATTATTTCTGTGAAAGGGGAACGCTCGCGCCAAGAGAAAACAAAACACAAAAGGAACACATTACCGAAGGCTGTTAATTACATTTACGTGTTCATTTCTCTTTGTTGTGGCCATCAGATGAAGATGAGAAGTCCACTCATTAAATATGTAATAAAATCAGAGTGCTCGACTGAGAGCGTGTCTACTTTCATGCTTCCACCTCTGGGCCTGTAAAGTCTAAACCGCACATTTTACTCGATCATAAAGTACAGACTGAAACTTCACAGAGCAAGTTCAAGAGAAATCCTTCCCCTTTGTGTTTGCAAAGATGCCGACCATATGATGAAGCAAAGGCAGGGTCAGACATTCAGCTGGGGCCGCGGACACAGCCGAGCTTACCTACCTGCTTGCGCGTTTTCTGCGATTTCTGCAGCCACACCCTCCACTGATCGTACAGTTTCATCGACATGCCGCCGCAGCCGTAGGCGTGCTTGCGGACCCAGCCGAAGAACTGCTTGAGTTCCCGCCGCAGCGTGGAGTTCTGCTCGCCGCTCTTAGGGTCGCACGAGCCGCTCTGCAGCTGCTCTGGGAGGACACGGGGCGGGGGGAGACAAAGGAAGTGAGAAGATGCACAGGTGAAGTGTGAGCACAGGTGTGACTTTTTAAATAAAAGAAGAAGTTATGTATTAAAGAAAATGAAGCATGTTCCTGACCCGACTGCTCTGTGAATATTTGGAATGATTCGTATAAGTTTGGAGTTCTTTTCAGGTCTTTATTAGACAATCAAACGGAGCAGGGTTGAATTGAGACGCTGCCTTCGGAAGGGTTGACTCTCACAGGCGGGAAAACTCGTTCAAAACAGTCGTTGCTGCAGACAAAAGCTTCGATTCCTATTTTTTCTAATCAATCAAAGACATTAAAATACGCTTTCCATCTTTTTGTACCTAATCTGTCTGATTGCGTGATAAAAACGAACAAAGTTACTCTATCGTTGCTCAACACTGCAAAACCGAAAATCCAAACAGAACTTTAGTTTCGTTGTGACGCCGTGTGTTTGTGGAAGCGACACTCGGTTTCTGGGAGAGGGCTGTTGTCGTCTGCCACCATCAATTCTTTATTGCAAACAACAGAGCCCGATAACGACTTCCTCCCCCTGAAGTAATGACCACATAACCTATGTAACTCATTATCTGCTCCTCCAGCTCCCAAACCTGCTTCCACTCAGGCTTTATAGGCCCTGTGTGCGCCGCTGACAGACATGCCGCTTTTTAACTTGATCAATGTTTGAAGCCGACGACAAAAATCTATCAAACGTCCCCGCGGCTCTCCGCAGTTCCCTCTAATCCTCCGTCTGGAGATCCCTATCAAGGTACGTAGCCTATTGATGTTTGGTTCCTTTTAGGCCACATGCGGTTTGAATCTCCTTGTTCAGGATGTTGGATCGGGAAGGAGGACACATTGTTCTTTTTTTGGCTTTTAATTGGCAATGAAAGGTTGATTATTGGAGAGAACGGAAAGAACGGTCAAGATTTGTGGGCATCACAGACGCTTGGGAAGCATTTAAAGGCCATTTAAGCAAAGAGACAGTCAGGGACAGGAAGGACTTTAGTGACGAATGTTTGCTACATCCAGGATGATAGCTTTTACTTGGAGACGGCGTCTACTGTATTTCAAGTTCCTACCACTGCTGGGCGTGGAGGCGGCGGTCGGATGGCTCCAGTCGCTCCAAATGCCGGCCTTCCTCGAGCCAAAGATGCCCACTGGGTTGCACCTCACCTGGACAAAATAGACGGTCCCAGGCTGGAGGCCTGCGAGGCGGCACGATGTCAGATTGCCGACATCATCCACCAACTGATGGAGGGGTCAGAAAGAAACAGAGTTTGTAAGGAGATAGTTTTGACAGCTGGTGGAGGAAAAGCAGAAAGGCCATAATTGCCTCAACGCCGGATATCAGTGTCACTGTTAGGGACAATAATCCACCGTGAATCCATTTCACCTGCTTTGATCCGAATGAAAATGAGGACTTCTGACCTGAAAGTGCTCAGATCCATTCTGCAACGTGAAACTGAGCTTAAACTTGAGTCATACATGATCAGTCCTGCAGCACATGCTACGAGCCCCGATCTCAAATCCACAGAAGACCTGAGACAAATTCGCCAACTGTACCTGAAAACTGCAGCTGTACCAAGAAGCACGCTGCACACTCCTTCAACAGGAAATAACGATGTGATTTTGGCTCTGCTATTTTCTCCTGACTGCCTCTTATATAAAGTTAATTAATCATTTTTAATTTCACGGTCTTAGCTCTGAACGCCTCCCTATATTATTTTTAGCGTCTAAAACTTCTGTTTGCTCTGCTTTCATCCTGAATCTCCTCTGGATACTGGTGACTTCGTATTCAATAAATATTACTGTGTTTGCTTAATCTTCTCATTCAACAGAGAAACATACAAAGCAGAGAAACAGTAAGGAGCTTTGGTTAGAAAACATCAAAGAGAGTTAAAGGAGGAACATTTTGTGCACTTTTGGATCAAAACCGAGCTTCAACACTTAGAAGCTATAAATTGCTAACGACAGCAAGGAGAAGATTTGTTTTACAGCAAAGCAAGAAGCTTCACTTTCATCATTGCTCACACGTTTCCACAGTAGCTACAGAGAAAGTGTGTGTAGGTGAGTCTGCGGGTTTGTGTGCGGACCACCTTCCAGTCAGCGCTGTCCTCCAGTCGGTAGCGTATCTGATATTTGGCCTGAAACAGGATGTCCTTGAGCTCGGGGGGGATGGCCCAGCGGACCGTCAGCTGGTCCTCGAGCTCGCCGACGCGATTGACCTGCACGTTGGCGGGAGGGTCTGTGGTCACTGCACACACAAGGGACATCTATTAAAGGGTTTGCATGCAGCAGGTGTAAAGTCCAACAAGGCAGGGATGACCAGTAAGAGATGAAATGAATGAAACTACTCGGAGGCTGCTTCTTAAACCATTAACACTCTTACGTGCAGCTTTAGAGTATTTACTATATTTGGCCTCATCCTGGGTCTGCTTTAGCACACGATCAAAGCAAGAGCTGAAGCTTCACAGGGAATTTCCACGGTACAGATAAACTAAATAAATAGCTGTCATGTGGAAGAAAAAGCAATGCAAATAAATATTTAATGGGAACCAAATATTATCCAACTTCATATTTATATCTTTGAACTCCATTACAGCAAGCTCGTGTTCATACTAATCGTAATTTATCTGATACCAGGACCTGGTGCAGCCTTCTTCCGATTGGCTGCCTGTCAGAAACAGCAGGTTTCAGCATCATTTGCCTTTATTTTTTCTGTAGTAATAACCCCAAATGAAAGAAGCCATTCTTGCACTGGAGAAAACAACAGCGTACGACCACAGCTTAATAAAATGACTGTGATGGTGTGCAAGATATAGTCTGATCAAACTGGCATTTACATGAAAAATTGTGTTAACATGGAGCAACTCAGATTCATTTTTATTTCCAAATCACACCAGTCGCCTCAAGACAATCAGATGAACCCCTGTGAGCAAAGACTTGGAGACAGAGGGAAGGAAAAACTCCCTTTTAGCAGGAAGAAGCCTCCGGCAGAACCAGGCTCAGGGAAGGGCGACCATCGAGAGACTGATTGGGTTGAGAGGAAAAATACTGGACAAAACCCACACTGTGGAAGAGACGGTGATTATTTTTTTTTAACTAACGGCGTATAGATGCCGCTTTCAATTTAATCAGAGAAAATCATACCAAAAATAATCACCTAAATTTGCTGCCGTCTACAGACAGTAATTCCCATCTGAGATCCGAGAAATTCAGAAATTCCTCCACATTATAAATGTGGTTACTGCAGGACGGTGATCTTTTGAAGCTTTGCTTTCAAACAGGAAAATAACCAGAACACAACCAGCTGGTGACCAGTCGAGTGGACTCCCTACTTCAAAGAGTCGTGCTCATTATTCATTCACTGTGACGTGTTGGCATCTGTCTCCAGTTAGAAGTTACACAGCACTTATCTGCAAACCTGCACACGTCTGTCAGAAAGAAGACAACCTGCAACTGGTTGCTGCAACCTGAGATGTTTTACTAATCACAGGTAGGTTTCCATGTTTTGTTTTGTTTTTTACTGTAGTGCGAATGAGTCATTAACGTGTACCCTGGTATGATATTTTGGACCAGCTGATTACAAAAATGTGTGTGATTAGGACAATTTCAAAGTGATACCACGTTATAGGAAGACTACTTACTGTCATGTTCAGAGGTTCCTAATTTATCATTTTAATAGTTAAATGCTATTAAAATGATAAATTAAAAACCTGGTGCTGTTCATTTAGTGTGTGCGCTTCAGTTTAGGTCAGTCTGTAGTTCCTGCGAGAGCACGTCGTCCCCTCAGTCAGAAATAAAACAAAGTGACTCGAGTGCTTTGAAGGGGAGGAAGATGAAGACAAAGAGGATGGCAACACGAGAGGGAACACTCGTTAAAAATGCTTCCCATTTGTAACCTTCCGCTTGAGACATCGCTCACTGTGTGTCGGCTGACGTGTCTCTTTGTTCGGCTCAAGATGAAGAGGGAAACTGAGCCGGCAGAACTCATTGTTTCTGGTATTCTGGCAGCGCAACGCATCACACACGGCGGCGCTCCTCCTTCGCCTCCAGCCCACTCACAGCCTCCACGCTTTCTGTTCCTCAGCGTCCAATGAGGATTCACAGAGAGAAGATGCCGAGTTCCAAAACACAAAGGCTGCTTTATGAAATGCGACAGTTTACCGGAGGCCTGTGCAAGCAGATGAGGGCTACACTAATCATAACGCCACAATTTAAATTCCAGAAACCTGTGAAGCCGTCACATGCGGGGCATCTGCTAAGGTTAACTTTCACAACATGACAGTTTGTCTTAGAGCCACACGCTGGAGCTCTACAGACAAACGTAAAAGGAGAGGGGGAAGCGTAAAGCTGAGCTGAAACCCTCTGTTTACTTTAGATAGACGTCTCTCACTCACCTACATCGAGGATGTCCAGGGTGGTGATGTCAGAGGTAGCAGAGCCCAGCTGATTGGTTGCTTCCACCCAGATCTCGTACGGAGTGAAGAGGGCGATGTTGCGGGGGATGTAGCAGGAGTAACGCTCGTTTCCCGTACTGTAATTTTCACACTCCTTCTCTTTGCCGTGCCATCTGGACGCAAGAACAGAGACTGAATCTGGTGTTTGCCGCCACAGAGGCAGACGGTGTTTTTAGGCGTGAGGGTGAACTCTCCAGTCTACCTGAGGGCGGCGGGATGAGGTAATCACCTGTAAGCTGCGACAGCGGGTCTGGAGGCACTCACCTCAGTTTGTACTTGAGGGTGTATTTGGTCGGGACGTGGGTCTCGCCCTGACCACCCAGGCTCCAGCTGCAGCTCAAGTCCTTCGTGTTTCGGGACCAACAAGTTAGATTTACGGGCTTCTCGGGAGGCACTGGAGACAAAACGGGGCAGAAAACAGAAGAAGAAGAAGAAGACTGGCGTCAACCTATTACAATAAATAAAATAAAAAACAAACAAACACTAATGTCGCCTTAAAGATACTGCATGAAAAAAAGCACAGACAGACATAAAGATTATAATCAAGAAGGAACAAAGAGTAAGAGAGCATTAATCACACACAGAGTGTGAGCCATCTGATGCTTCATGTGGTTTTAATCGAGGTTTCTTAAAAAAATGAATTTTGTCCAGAAAAAGTTCAGCTGGAAATCATTTAACTTTGAAATCAACTCAACTAATCTTAAAATGTTCAGATCAGAAATCTCTGAGAAAGTTACAGATTTACCACATGAACGTCAGACTTTACTCGAGTACTGACACCTCACTTCCTAACCTTAACTGAAACTTTTCCACAAACATGCGTTTTTAAATGTTTTATATAATTTGGATTTTATGAGTTACATCTCTCAGGATATTCTGACCAAAGTGATAAATTCTTATTTACATATAAGCAAGTTTTTCAAATTCATGTCAGAGTGAATGTTTATTACAACCTGAAACCCTTTGCTTTGTTTTTGGACCATCTCCTAATCTTCCCTCTCAGTATTAAATAGGCTTCGTTCCCATAAAATCATCTATTATGGAAAATATATGATTATACTTTTATAATGTAAATATTGTGTATGTGTATGAGTATAATAATTTCTGCCTTCGTCAGCACATTAATGCAACAATGAGAATTATATGAACCTGCAGTATCACTTTAATAAAAATAACTATGATTAATATGATTAATATCATAACTTGCACAAATGAAGATTTCTGATTAGGCAGACTGGATAATAACAGCTGAATTCTTTGAATTTTGCCCCCTACAGGACGACACAGGAGGTACATCTCCTGGTTCATTTTCGCCTGTTTGGGACTAGTTAGTGAGTTTATTCTGCAGTGATTGCAGTTCTGCAAAATTAATACTGAGCTAATAAAGCTGATCATGTAATTATGAAGTGTGCTCATTTATAATGTCATCTGCAGAGTCAGTGTTCACCCTCCACTTACTGCCCACGTAAAGGCAGGATCCAGCCAGGACGTGTCCGTTCGCTCCGTGGCACACCAGGTTGTCTCCGGACCGCTGCTGGGATCCACTGAGGCCGTGAAGGGTGACGCCGAGGACGCTGGGGGACACCACACTGTAGGCGCTGCTGGACACGCGCGCTCCGTTCAGCGTCCAGTATAAAGTGCTGGCGTGCACGCCGAGCTCGGGGCTCAGCGTGCACGTGGCCGTTAGACTGGAGCCAATCAGCAGAAAGGGGTCCTGGGGGGAGATCACCGCCACATCTGGGTGTTGGAGACACATGGACACAAAACAACCTCTTAAGCCAAAACCAGTATGAAGGCTTCATGTGATAATCAAGTCCTGTCATAATCAAGTTCTCAAAGTCGAATTAGTATTATGCTCTAATTACTGAATGTGACAGAATAAATACCCAGAATCTAAAGTTGTTTAAGATTATCTACAAAACCAGAAGATCCTCACATCCAGGCCTGACCAATAAAATAATATAATACATCATCCTTTGACGGTTTTTAGAACAGTCCCTCTCTCTTCCCCCAGCTAGACATGAATGTGGAATAATTTAACCAAAACGTTCCTCGGAGGTGAAAAATCCTGTAAACTTGCTAATGTTCTCTTTCCTAACAGGACTACATTTAGATTTGAGGTTTGTAGCCCCCCCCCCAGTCATTGTTTAACCATAACTAACTGCGCTTTCTTCAGCAGCATCCGACATCAGCGCTCGGCGGCTGTTTGTCTGAGTGTTTCTCAAACCGACAGCAGAGCCCGAGGTGAAACCACAGCACTTATAACAAGAAATCATTAGAGGCTAAATTTTTTGGCCAGCCGTGGGAAAACGTGTGTGTGCGCGAGTGTGTATTCATGTCTTTGTGGGGACCAAAAATGGGAAGTTTGCTATACTTGCGGGGAGCAAATTCCCGTTCCCCACGAGTTTGAAGGCATTTTGAGACTCAAAATGTGGTTTTGGTGACGGGGTTACAATTGGGCTACGGTTAGGATTAGGGTAAGGGTTAGGCATTCATTTTCCATGGTTAGGCTAAGCATTATGTCAATGAGATGTCCCCACAAGATATGAACAACCGACGTGTGTGTGTGTGTGTGGGAAGCAGCAGCCTCTCGGCACATATTTATGACCCAGTAATGAAGCGGATTTATGGAGCCCCGCTTGGATCAGTCAGAGAGGTTACCCCGCTTAGTGGTGAAACCCTTGAATGCTTTTCCATACCGCGACCGTCTGAGGCGTGAGGTTTGCCCCTGTGATTGATGCTCATGAGAAGCCATCATCTCTGTGTTTAAATGGCACCACCGGGCTCCTTATTCACAGATATTTGAGTTAATGTGTAGAGTTTTATGAGCCGTGCTGCAGGTGGGCGGTGGATAAGCTTTCTAACATATGTTTCACTTCAGTGTTTTAATCTGTAATGTAAAGAGACAATGTTTGAGGAAGATCACAGCAGTTCTCATCCTCTGCCCGCGGTGAGAGGGAATTAACCACAGTGCTAATTACGAGCGCAGTAAACAATATATCTGTGATAATATGAAAAATGAATACTGTTCTAACTGCACACCTCAGCACACGGACATACAACATTAATCCACACAGCACAAGTCTCTTTGGCGAGCTCTCTAATCTTTCTTCAGGAACAGTTCTCCTGCTTTGTTGAGGGACACTCCGAGAATTTGAACCAAACATGTCAAATTTGGATTCAGACCTCTGGCCACTGGTTTCCAGTCCAGTTCTTGGTTAACATGGAACACCCCAGCCTTTCTTCCCCGTTTCTCTTGCTTTTTAGTCAGCCTTCCACTGAGACCATTTCTGATGAGGCTTGGTGAAAGCCATGCTGGTGCGAAAGCAGTTTATTCCGTCAGACTGTGCTATTTTGGTGTTTTTTTTTAAACTAAAGGAATGGGAACTAATGATGTGTTTTTGCAGCTAGTGACAAAAAGCCTAAAGACATCAGTTAAAACTAGTTATTTGCCAAGTTTTCTGTTATATGTAGGCACAACATCCCATAGTTCATCCCTTGGGTTAGATGCCTTTTCATGCTCGCATGATTCAGTGGTCAGTGTTAACAAACAAACAAAACCCATTCCTCTGAAAATGGTCAGGTCTGACGACAGGACCGAACATGAGCGAAAAGGCAGCCAATCTCCAAAGAAACACTTTCAAAGACCTTCAGAAAGTTGGAGAACTGTTGCTCAAGAGCACTCGAGGAATGTCTGGCTTCTTGGAGGCAAAATATAAAAATATCTTAAAGGGAAATTAGGAGTGGCTCAAGACTTTTGCACAGTGCTGTATACAGTTATCTGGCATCAGTTTTGCCGTAAAGCAAGTACAAAGTCATAGGTAAGATTTCCTCTATGATCTTCTTCTTATTACCTCACTGACTGCCAGGTATCAGACACAGACACATTTACTGCATTACTACATTTTAAATAACGTTACTTTGCAGATAGTTCTGAGTTACCAAAGTTTAATCCTTATAAATAAGAATTATTACAGGTGAGGAACAAACTTGTTCACGCAGTTGAACATGAACTTGTTCTCTTGCTTCGAGCGCTGCTCTGCACTCTCCTTTAGACAGGATCAAGGTGACGTAGCTTTACCCGAAGTTACCGAAAGTTCGGTGTTACTCACGCGTCGTGGAGAACAACACGCGTGGAACCAGGAGGATCACCAACACGATGGGAATCATGCTTCTCTCTGCTGCTGTCCGCTCGCAGCTCCAGGAGCTGAAGCTGGAGGAAGAACTGCGCAGCTGCACTCCGTGAGAGAGGATCCCTCCTCTGACTGCAACCCTCACGCCCCGCCCCCCACAGACACACACACACACTTGCACACTTTCACTGCTGCCATCCTTCCTATGCAGAGAGATGCTTCAGGTGAGGCGGTGACAACTGTCAGGTTTGAAAATCTCACCTTTCCTGACATCACCACGCCTATTACAATACGTCATTTCCTGTCAGTGTTAGGCGAGGCTTTATCCTCACCAGTTAGTGATGGAAGTTAAAGTCATGTGATACTAAATGATTTTAAAAAAGAAATATTCTTATGTAAAGAAACGAAACCAGTCATCAGTCCAAGTGTCGAGCTCTCTGTTCTCGCACAGCATATTTTTTTAACACAACCCCACTGAATGCAAAAGCTGTGGGGGTTTGTTTTGTTTTTACACCTGTAAAACAACTTATTTTAAGTTATTACAGTTTATTAGCTCTAATGCAGGAGAGCAGGTAATACTGTATTTTGTGTTTTTAATAATATTTGGGCTGCAGTCTTTCACCACATGGATGTAATGCTCTCACCTCTGAGTGAATCTGTTCTATCCTGAAGAGTGGGAGGCATGCAGTTGTAAACTCGCCCAATCCAGATGTTATTTCACAAAACACATTTTAAAACATCTGCACCAAAGATATTTTTACCGATGTAAAAATGGATTTAAAACATCGCCCCTGCATTCACACAGAATTGGCACTAATGAGATGACGGGAAGAACAATGCAGAATAAAAAGTGCATCACGTGTTCTTCCAAACACAAGAGGAAAAACTGTAAAAGCTCATCTGCAGGTGAGGCTCTGCTTAAGTTTTTACACAGAAAATGGAGCGCTGCTCGGGTCGATGTAGTCGAGATCACAGCATCAGCATTAGAGGGTCCCGAGAGTGATTAGAAATATTAAGAATAAAAAATGACACTCGCCCACAGATATCCACCCAAAGCAGAAACGAGTAATCGACAGTCAGAGACAGAGGAGGAGCCAAAACACTGTTTCATTAAGAGCTTACACACAGTTTGCTCAGACACTCTCAGATACTGTCAGTTACTCACAAATACTCACGGATACTCTTAGAAACTTACAGATACTGTCAGAAACATATGGATACTCTCAGGTACAAATGCTCACAAATACTCTCAGTTATATGTTATATTATATTGTATTATATTATACTATGTTACATTATATTATGTTATGTTATAGTACGTTACATTATGTTATATTATTTTATGTTATGTTATGTTGTATTATGTTATGCTACATATACTCTATACATATACTTCTATAAATAGCATCGGTTAAACTTTTTCATGATCCCCTTTTTTCAGGTAACCCAGCAGTAAACCGTTCTTCTAACAGGCGTGACCGTGAGTTGCGTGTTGTGTCTCTGTGAGGTCTCAGGTGTGGGTCAGGTCCTCCTCTCCGCTGCTCGTTTATGCACTGCAGCAAAGGCTGCTCTGCGGATCGAGTAGGCTGTTTGAGGGGGGCCGGCGCGTGCGTGATGATGATGATGATGATGCGCGTGACGCCACGGGCAGAGGCAGATCAGCGGAGCGGCAGACGGGACCCGGGCTGAGGCAGCAGCAGCATCCGCAGCAGCAGTGGCGCCACAAAGCGACTCTCCGCGGCTCTCTCCGGGATCTGGCATGCTTCGGCTCGGCGGCAGGATGTGCGCGCTCTCGGCCCTGCTCTCCGTGCTCCTCGCTGGACTCGCTGCAGCGTCCTCCGATCTGTTTGACGACCAGCTGGGCGACATCAATTACTGCAAGAAGCAGTGCGCGCTCACCATCAGAAACAAAAGCCCCGCTAAAGTAAGTGGTCCCCGGCAGGCTCCATCCCGCTGCGGCGCGCAGCGCAGACTAACGCGGGAGCCAGAGCTCACGATAACCCGCAGTGAACGTGTTTAGGTCCGCGCGAGGGCCTCAGGGACGCTTCGGCGCACTTAGGCCGAAAATGGATGCAGCTGATTCCTGTGTGCATCTTAAAGGCCAGTCGAGACGTGAACTGCGTCAGTGACCCACTCGGATCCGCTGTTTGTAGACAGGTTTACGCAGACAAGGCCAAACCGGAGGGCGGCAGGCTGAGACCGTGAGGTTTGTGAGTTTCCGTGGATTACAGATTTTATATCTCGGGTGTTTGTCTCCCCCCTCCTCCCCCTCTCCTCCTCTGCTGCCTTCAGGTGTGGTTCAGACACCCTGCAGGGCGACAGGGGGCAGAGCTGCAAACGCCCGGTTTGAAATCTGCGATCAAAAGCTCTGCGTCCATCACACAGAACTGCGACCCCAGACACGCTGTGTACGCATTCACCTTCGCGCTTTGGGATAAACAGCCTTTCCCCTCCCTGCGAATCAGCGCGGAAACGCAGTAAAGATGATGAAAAGCTCAAGGCTGTAATAAACTGGCCAAAAACCATTTTTGTCTCGTCTATTCCCAGCGAGGCCACCAGAGGACGCTGTTTCTTTATTTGCATCAAGAGTGTGGTGAGAGGAGGATGCACATTGCTGCATCCTCCTCTCACCACCACAGTATCCTGCAAAATGTTCATGGAGCTCGCTCATTACCATCAGCTTTCTCTGGCAGCATCTAAACGCGTCTTATAAACTGTTTATGTCAGGCCATAATATTACAGCTGCACCGTGTCATTACGAATGCCATGACCCATCTATGTCACAACTCCTAACAAGGTTATCTGGAGTTTATCCAAGACTACAGGAGACATCTCTCATTTTGACCCCCCCCTTCTGTCTGTTTGACTGCTAGGACTCCATAATGAACGCCTGTCACCGTGGCTGTCGCCTCTACTCCATCTGCCAGTTTGTCAATGGCAATGCTGGCTTTAATACCAGCAGGGAGGAGTGTCAGGGAGGTGAGTCAGTGTGTCAAGCTGTCCATTGAGCTGTTGGCTTCTATCTATCTATCTATCTATCTATCTATCTATCTATCTATCTATCTATCTATCTATCTATCTTTGCATTTTCTTCAATGTTAATTGTAAATCAGATTGAAAAAAGAGAATCCTGAAGAGAGGTCACGAGGGTCAAAATCCATACGAAGCACAATGGTTCTTTTATCTCGAATTTGGTGTTTTCGTAGTCATTGGAAAAGACAGGACTGGAGTTGAAAATAAAATCTGGAGAGCAACATCAAAGCTCTGGTAAACACTGCAGTGTTTCCTGAAAGCTGGCAGGCTCGTTTTTGTCAGGGTGGGGGGTTTCAGGCTGTTCTCCCTGTTTGAACTGCTGTATTGAAAATCAATGATGTGATTTGCTGTCCAGACAGCAGATACCCCGGTTCCTCCTGCTTCAGTAACGGCATTGTGGAGCGAGTCGTCTCGGTTGGGTCCGTTCTTTCTGCCCTCACCTGTTTTATTTCTTCTCTGCTGACTTCCCTTTTGTGCTCATTCTTTCTCTTCTCACTCCTTCATCTGCGCTGACAACCTGCTTTTGCTCTTTTCCTTTTTTATATATTCTGTCATACTTCACTACTGCGCCCTCTCTCTCTCTCTACAGCATGCCAGGAGGCATATATTAAGCTGCTGGAGCAGGAGGCCTGCAGCACCGGCTGTGCCAGCCAGCCTTCCGAACCCGAGATCAAGAGAAGGAAGGTGAGAAAGAGCACTTTGCGCTCAATAGGTGCACGCAGACACACACAACTTATAGGTGTCGGTTTAAACTTGGCACAAGTGTGTACACAGGAGACCACCCTCACTGCCGTCCTGCTCTTTCTCCTGCAGCTGAAGGCCATGACTCTCCGCCCAAAGCCGCCCTCTGTGATGGAGGCCGTGTCCAGCTGGTGCAATGACATTGTCAGCTCCGCCCAGAGTTTCATTTCATCCACCTGGACCTTCTACCTGCAGGCTGACGACGGCAAGGTTGTGGTTTTCCAGGTAGGACCAGGTGGCACTGGGAGACGGGGAACACCATAGAGCAGGGATGTCAAACTCATTTTACACTGTGGGCCTCATACAGCTTTGATATGTTGGCCGGACCAGTGAAACTCCAATTTCTGTCAGTGTAAACAAGTTTAACTCCACAGTGAGATACCTTAATGTAAGACAGAGAAGCAATTTCATCAGAAATGCTGACGACTCTTTGGGCTTAAACTGTAAAGACGTAAATGTGTTTAAAATGTAATTTAATTACCTCGGTGCATTGTGAGTGGCCACAGGGGGAGCTCTTCATCAGCAGGAAAAGCTGTAAACTTGTGAAAACACCAAGATTTATGTCCTTCACATAAATTCACAAAGCCAAACAATTAGGCCAGATTGGTGTCTTCGCTGGGTCGATTCAGGCCCCCGGACCTGATGTTGGACACTCCTTCCATAAGCTGTATATAAAAGAATGATGTAAGGAGATAAATGCGGGTTGGATCTGACTGCAGTAGCAATGCAGGAAAATGTTCACTGAGGTCATTGATCCCACGGCAGCCACACGCGTCATCACTGGCTGGCTGTTAGGAACGTTTGTTTTACTTTTCAGTTATGCCCTGAATGTGTCACCTGTAAATAAAAACAGCAGCGTGAGCATTTACGCCACTTTTCTTACCCGGTATTCAAAACGAATTATGACAAACCACCAAAAAGATGGAATCCTGTTTTTTGCTTCGGTCAGATCTTCAGTCTGTTCTACAAATTTCACACCACGTGACTGGAAAGACAGAATATTTTAATTTGCATGTACACAGTATCTGCACAGTATATTCAGGATATATTCGTTCATGCAGGGTCTGTTGCCTACCGGTGTTGGAAAAATATAAAATGACTACTTACGGCGATTTTACGCCTCATATGTTTTTAATTGGAGGTTAAAGCAAGCCAGCGAGCCCTTATAGATTACTGGATGAGCTCACCTCTGCTTCCTTCCCGTTAGAACTGTGAAATGTATCCTCTGGTATACACTGTGTACAGCCTGGGCCACAGCTCATTTTAGAGTCAGTGCATCTGTGAAGGTTGAGTGAACAAGGGCACACAGCGGGGTGGAGGAAAGGTGGCTGAATTCAGAGAGCTGGATGGGTTTTTTCCCCCTCACAGCACTTTAATTGTTTATAAATTTCCTTTTAAATGATGTCACTTCCCCTCGCTGCCATGCATATTTGATGACCAGCTGTTGAGCTCACCTCACAATGGAAACTCACTGCAAGATTAAACAGAACAGACTACGCCGAAGAACAGTGAAAAAGTGAAAGTGCTGCTTCCACTGTGGTGCTGATGCAGACTTTCCTGCATTGACAGCTGAGGTCATGTGTGTCTGGTGACCTTGGCTGACTTGGAAAAAAACTCTCTATTATCCATCGCCGTGCGTCTTTAGACGCAGAGTGGAAAAAAGATTCAGCATTTGTCGCGTTTTCTGTTTTTGAAAGGAGTAAATTCAGATGTTAGTGTATCTTTTTTTGTTAAAGCCAACACAGTAAACCACCTCTACATTAAAGCTAAAAATAAGATTGGGTCTGTTTAACCACCGACTGCCCAGCCAGATCCTCCAAAATCAAAAACCATCTCTCCCAAGTGTTTTCCCGTTTGTATAAGTGACTTCAATGGCAGTTAAAGCTACATAATTAAAGGCTTCCGTGGGAAATGATAGTATTTATGCACTCGAACGCATACACACAAAGGCTTCTGTGTAACACAGAGCTGTCTGTTATGCTGAAATTCATTATTAGGTATAAAAATGTGTGTGCACGCTGGGCTGTAATTCTCAACCTCATATATGGAGCAAGCGCACAATATGAAATTACCGACATTTCTTTTGGACTCGGTGATGGATGTTTGCTCTTTATGGCAGCGACACGCAGACTGGAGCAGCAGGGGGAAACCAGCAGTCTCCGAGAGGCAGTGAGAAAACTATCAGGCCTGTGTTTAGTGGGCAGCTGGCGAACCGCCACCAACTCGACAGATTGACTCCCCGAGTGTTGAAACAACAGAAAAAGTCGGGCTAAGGATCGGGACAGCAGAGAGGAGGGGGGAATAAACCGCTGTTGCCTGAAATAAAAATGGCATGGCTGTCCATTACAGGCAGACTGTATGCAGAGAGCTTTGCCTGACATCATGCTGCGAGGATAATAATATGAGCAAGCATCATAAAAACAAGCAGGCGGCTCACAGGAACCAGACAGTATACGATTCTCAGTCATTCCTACTGAAGGGAAAAACAAACTCGTAATTTTAAAGAAAGCCTTGCAAAGCAGACCTCTTTATACCTTCTCACCACCACCTTGTTGTTTTGACAGTTCAGCCCTCGATGAGGTGGCGGGAGAAGAGCGTTTGAAACAAAGTGGATCGATTAAGCGCCTCTTCCAGCTGAGCCGTGGCTTTTGTTAACAAACAAATTGAACTCTGTGTGCGGTGAATACACAAAGACAAGGCGCTGCTCCATTTCTTCCTGCATTAGTCATCCTGCCCAAATGAATTTTAAAGAAAACGCCTGAACACAACGCAAAGAAGTGGTGACACAGCAGCGTTTGGAGGAAGTCTGACTCACAGGTGTTTTGCTAGAATTATCGATATTGGTGAACTGACATAAGCACAGACACAAGCGACACGTGTGCTGGATGCAGAGCTGCTGCAGGGAGCGAGGGTGTGGATGACAATCACAGTTTAACTTGGATCCCTTCTTGATGTTGATTGATCAGGACTGTGAGCTGGAATGGGGGGGGTACACCTTTTTTTCCTTCGAAAGGGTAGCACGATAGCCCCCCCGTATGCATATGTTAGTGCATGTTTCCTGCATAGGCACAGTGAAATTCTCTCGGCCACAGAACAGGAAGGCTCGAAATCTGAGGTACAACCTTGACAGGGGAAGATAAACAGCCGCACACGCTCTCAGATCCACAGCTACGACCAGTTTATCTGACAAACACGTCGTGGAGGACACCCCCACAAGCGAAACGAGAACATGCGCGCCAGAGGGAGTGTTCGCCCGGGGCACCAAACAGGCTAGGACCGCCACTGAAAATGAGTGAGAATAAACTCAGTTTCCAGAGTGACTTGCAGCGCGTCAGCAGTCCTTTGCTGCTCTGGTCATGTGACTCACTCACTAAGTCAGCAGATCACTCATTTCCAAAACAAAGGAAAGAATAAAGTGAAAATGATCCTCGATTATAGTGTCCGACACAGCAAGAGGTTTCAGATCCCGTCGAGTGTCCGAATGGATGAATAACGGGGAAGAAGACACTCCACGGGGATGTGTTGTGATGTTAGTAGGCCGGGGAGAGTGTGCTGTTGCTGAGGCCAGCAATAGTATCGTTACAACTGACTACAGCTGCTGTTAGAGCAGAGGGAGGGTCAGCAGTAGGGAGGCAAAATCCTCTTTTAATGAGTTCTCCAGGGGAACCGAAAACATCGCGCACGTAATGAAACACACAACAGTGCAAATGGCAACAGCAGGCTCTATGTGGGTTTAAAAAGATGTTTTTCAGAGATGGTGTCCCACTAAAAGGAGCTTTAGTGAACTTATTTCAGTGTCTGAGAGAAAAGGAAACTGAGCGTGCTTGAAAAAACAAATTCTAATGACGGCGTTGGTTTCACACAACGTTAAATGCTGAAGTACGAATAACTGAACTTTTACTGAACAAAGGAGAAAGATTCAGAGTCCGGAAAGACTCTGTCGTTATGCTGAGAAACTCACGGGGAGCGTTTGTAGACCGTACCCTCACAGATGGCTCTTAAAGGGCTGAAATGTCCTTGAATACAAGTTTGAATCATCCCTCCAGCTCCAGGGCTGTCTGTGGGTAAGAATCTCAAATCTTTGTATGAAGGAGAGAAAAGAGAAGCAGGTGTTTTGTGTCCAAAGTCAGAATTGTCGCAAAGATTAACTGAATGTTAAAAGTTTTCACTATAATCGTGACCTTAAGGTGACGTAGGATCACCTAGATGCCTTCTGTGGGGTTTCTATGTGTTTGCTCTGACTTTTCTCATCGCTTAGGAGCTCCTCTGATGTTGTTTTCCACTCCTCAGAGCCAGCCAGAGATGGAGTACTCTCTGCCCGAGCTGCAGGCTCCTCGATCCAGCGTGGCAGACAAACCCTGGCCTCAGGTCCACTCTCACACCCAGAGACCCCACGGTTAGACCAAAATGCTCTGCACATCCATGCTTCTGCAATATCCAACCATTTGTTGTTTCAGCTAGAACTGATGTCCACTTTTTTAACTGTGTGTCAGGTGCGAGGGGACACGGGGAGAAGGGAACTCCCAAAGCTGCAGCGAAAGGGAAACACGCCGTCCAGCACCCGGAGGACCTCGCATCTGAGCACGACTTCCTCGGCTGCATGTCCAGGTGACACTGTGGAAAATCACCAATTAAATGATTTAAGCAGAGCGTTTATCATAAATTTAAATTGCTTTTACACAAGCGCTCCTTGGAGCCTAAAATGAACCTAAAGACACTTGAAACCTGTTTGACGAAGCTAATCTAACACAGCTAACAGAGCTGCAGTGTCGTGCAGTGTTTGGCAGTGGACACATTTAACTCCCCGACCTTACACTGACGTCCTAACTGACAAAGACAGCTGAACAGATGAAGTTCATCCTGTTTGCAAAACTCATAAAACGCCATTTAGAACCACAGAGAATCAAATAAAGTGATTCTTTCACTAAATGAGTTACAACATACAGAAAAATACCTCTCTGATTCGTTGACTTTGAACTTTAATTGCATTAACGAGATGCTATTTAAGTCTATACAACATCTGCAGTGGATTTATTTATAATTTGGCGATCTTCTCGGTCTTTCTGGCCCACCTCATTCTCACGCCCTCCCCTGCTCCCCCGCTTCCTTCTGCAGACGTTCAGGCCTTCCGCGGTGGATTTTAGCCGCTTGTCTCTTCCTGTCTATCATGGTCATGCTGTGGCTCAGCTGCGCCAGCCTCGTTACCGCACCGGAGCAGCACATCAAGACACAGGTAACCATTTGGAAAAGAAATGACTCAACATTAAATCATGAATTCTGCTCTGCCTGGGTGGGCAGTGCACCTGTGTTTTCTAATCTCGGAGCTCCTTGAGGACACCTTTAAAGTAACACAAACCAAACAACAGCCCACTTCTGTCTGAGTCTGGATTTCATTCCAGGAAGGCGGCATAAACATTGCTTTGATATCTGATTCTTATCAGCATTTCCCATCCACAGCAGCTAGCACGTCTTCTCCCGGTCTTCCCTTTCTGCTCATCCAATCCGTTAGTCGTTGAGGCGCACTTCATCTGCAGCCTGTCACAGCCTTAAAACATGCTACCAGGCTGCAGCCGGATCATCACACGCATGTTTTGTGCACTCCGGTGTCTCACTTTGCTTTGTTACTGAACATATCTCAGCCACACATACAAGTTTTATTTGATTTATTTATCTGTTGATAGTTTACACAAGTTGTAATTATGAGTAAATAGAAGCTGCTGTGAATGCACTGGAGGACGTACATTGTGTCTTCAGTCTTCTCAGAAAGCTTTAAAGAAAAGGGAATGTTTCAAACATTAGATAATCGCAGCATTACCAACTTAGACTTTGAAGAATTTTTATATATTTGACTCTGATAAACTGGGAATACACAGATGTGTGTTTGTCAAGTCTCACGTTTTTGTCCTGGATCCTCAAAACTCGTGCGGTAAAAATCCATGAAAAACAAAACAAAACAGGATACAGATAGAAATCTCTTCTTTCCATCGCTGAAGCTGTCGGCTCCTGTCAAACCTCAGACGTGTGCCTTCTCTTCCCTTTAGAAAAAGGAGCTTTTAAAGCAGTACACAAACGCTTTCCTAGAACTGTCAGTTTATCCACGCCGTATGGTATTTTGTGCCTTTTTAAAAAAAATATATATATATTCTTTGTATCTTTTTAGTTGAGTATCAACGGAGATAAAGAGTTTCTGGAAAACGCCCACAAGGTCAACCCGTACCACCTGAGTCCCGTCATCGCCGTCACCGTAAAGCAATCAGAGGAGAGCCAGGAAGCCGGGCCGCTGCCTGTGAAGGTCGACTTGAACAAAACGTGCGTTTAGGATGGAGAGCGGCTGTCTCGCTTCAGCGGGTGACTAAACTCTGAGGCTCGTCAGAGAAGAGGGGTGGGGTGAAAGAAACACATTACGATGCTTACTCCATCAGCAGAATTTTAAAGAAACATATTCTTAAGAGCATGGCACCCTCCATCTTTTAAAGTGATCTCACACAAACATATAGCTCGTGTCAGTCAGTTGGGTTTTTTTCTGTGTCAGCTCCACCTGTCATGCATTTCATTACTTTGTACAATCCAGGTTTCGTCAAGCGAGGTCGTTCCCTAATGGTTAGCCTGCTCATTGCTTATTGATGAGTCTCGTCTCCGAGCCACGCGCGAGACAAGCAGAGAGGACAGACCGCAGCCGAGAGCGCTCGTGTCATTCGTCAAGTGTGGACAAGAAGACAAACGCTGAGCTTCATCTTAGATTCAATTTCCCTCGTTCTCAGAGAGTTTGGATTAATTAGTGGCTTGCTCGCAGCAAAGAGGGAAAAAAAAAGCTCTGAGAGGAAAGGAAGATGAATGAAAGGTGAGCGAAACACTCTGAGAGTAATCCCTCGCAGTTTATGATCCGTTTACTCAGTCAGCACCGTGATCTGTGCAGAAATAGCCTCGAAATTGAGATTCGCGTCTCGACAGCGTGAAACGGTTCTCAGGTGAGTGACCCTCGCCGGGTTCGGAGGTACAAAAACAGCACGTCGGCGTCTGTCGTCGCCTCGGTCCCGTGCGTTTTCTGGATCTTTGTCTTTTCACACAGCTCGAATTAAATCTTAAACCGGACGCCGTCTTTAAAAATGAGCAAAAATCGACCTTAATTTATTTTCTCCTCGTTATATTCCGAGTCATCAAAGTGAGTTACCCGTTAGTGTTTTTGCAGTACCATGTACAGCTCAGTCATCATGCAAATGTAATTAGTCTGTATGTAAAATACTGTAACATCAGCTAGAGAGAGACACACACACACAAAGACAGATCACACCTGTTGCTATATTATTAATAATGCTATTGTTATTATTATGATGATAATTATTCTGTTATTGCTCTTCTATCACTTCAAGACTTCATAGCTGTTATATGTGCTTTCTAATAGCTGACTATTTTGTATGTCCTAGGAGCACATACTGATGGATTCCCTCTGTAACAGTGTGTAATGCAAAGCTTTTAACACAGACCTTTGTTATTGAGCACAGTCGCAGTCTTAGAGAAGATTTTCTGTTTTCCTCTCAGTGCTTTAGATGTCCTGTAGCGCTCTCTTTTAATCCAGGCTATGTAGACAAAAAAAGCGTGCATGCAAGTGATTCTTTGATAGTTTATCTTAACCGCTCGCCACTACGGCACAACTCTACTGTAGACTTGTGATTTTTTGTGTTCATATTACTGTAAACCTTGAATAGAATGCGTAATAACGAATGACAATATCCTCATGATATACAGGAAGGACTCTTAATAATAATTTTTTTAAAAAGCCATCCGATCGATATCTGTGCCGGAGGTATGCCGCAAGGAACGTGAAGATGGATTTCAAACTGTATTGTTTCCTTTTTACTGGTCTGTTAATTTTCAATGAAACGATACAACATGATGAAATAAAGTGTTTTCATGGTAAGCGTGATTTTTTTCATTCCTAAAGAAAACCTCAGACAAAGCGCGCACTCGTGCGTGCTTGTGTCAGCGTGTGTGTGTGAAGCTCGTAAAGACAGAAATAATATCAGGCTTAACGGTAGCATGGAGAGCAGAAGATTAATGGCAAATGGTCCGGTACTTATATAACACTACACTGAAATCACATTCATACAGTGCTTTATTCTAAGCCTTTAAGCACTTTCTAACTGTGACGCCGCACACGCAGTCCAGTGGGTGCTCTGGGGACCATTAGGGCTTCAACGTGCAGACAGGAGGAGCCGGGGATCGAACCACCAACTGTCCAACCTCCTCTAACTTCCGAGCCACAGCCGGATACACTACACAGATTATTTCAGAAGCACCCAAACACAGTAAATGAGCACATGAACGTCACTCACATGTGTCGCTGCTGAACATGTCCCCCAGCCTGAACAGAGCGGGTCACAGGGTGCGGGCGAAAAGGTCATCAGGCTGAAATGTTGTTATTCACTTTTATACGGCCAAGACAGGCAGCCCATCTGAATTCATTATTCAGTCACACTAATAACATTTTTAAATAAGCTTTAACATGCTTAAAGCTTATTTAGCTTATAAGCTAAATTAATCTAGTAAATAATTTGTTTTCAGTTTCCAACAAACAGGAAAATTAATTGACTAATCATTTTGCTATTTTGTCATTAGTTTGTTTAATATCAAATAATTATTTTTGAAATGTATATATTTTTAATAGTGTATAATATCATAAGAGGCGATAACAACTATGTTAAATTATGACTTTTAACTTTTCCTGTATTATTTAAAAATGTTAGAGTTGTTTTGTAATATATATTTTTACTGATCAGTGAGCCCATTCTCAGCCACAGTGTGTAAAAACCACACTCACCATACAGCAGTCATTATTTCCACCTGCCTAATATTGCTGCCTCCACTAGTCTCCAGCTGTGGTGCTGTGGTGCTGTGGTGTCAGCTGTGAGGTGGAGCCTCCCAACTTGTTTGTCCAGCACATCCCACAGATGCTCGACTGGACTGAATGTGAAGGATGTCAACACCTCAAAGTTGTGCTCCTCAATCAATCCGGAACCATTTTTTGCTTTCAGTGCATTATCCTGCCGAAAGAGACCACAGCCATCGGGGAGCACCGTTTCCATGAAAGTTTGAGCGATAGCAGCTCATCCACCTGGTAGGACCACCCGGGCCGGTCTTCGCTCCAGTGAGCCTTGGCCGCCCTTGACCCTGTCTCTGGGTCGCCGCTGTTCTTTCCTCGGACCTTTTAATAGACACTGACCACTGCAGACCGAGAACACCCCACAAGACACCATACTGTCAAACTCACTCAAATCCTCACACTCGCCTATTTTCCCTGCTTCGAACATCAGCTCTGAAGACAAAATGTTCACTTGCTCCCTGATGTGCCCCGCCCACTCACAGATGAAGAGATAATCCACGTTATCCACTTTACCCGCCAGTGGTCGTAATGTTATTCAGCTAATAAAAGTGACAACAATGAACCAGGACACCCCACCTGGCTCATACTCACTCACAACTTCTCTTAAATAAACATTCATTTCAGCTCTATAATAGCCTTCGAAACGATGTTTACACCATTGACCTTTTTATTAATCATCTGCAACACTTTATGAAAATATGTTGCAATTTTAAGCCACCAGACACTGTTCATTCATAGTTTTTATAATCAGTCATTTCCTTATTTGCTGTTAAAGAAAACAAAGTTGGACTACTTTATTAATTATTGTCATTGTAAAGCATCCTATTGTTGGAAGATAGATAGATAGATAGATAGATAGATAGATAGATAGATAGATAGATAGATAGAATTTCCACTAACAGGCTCTTTTCATTGTGTAATAACTATTTCAGTCCACTTGGTGGCAGCAGAGGTTTGGTGGGAGGGTGATTATAGGACTTTCTGCTATTTTTAAAATCCTGAATCCTGCTGAAGCTCATTCATCTAAACGTGAGTGGGATTATTTTTAAGATTGTTAATGCTACAGAGAAAAGAGGTTGTATTTAGTTCTTTTCACATCAGACACTTTTCCTTAGAGAATCCTCCTGTATGTGAAGACAACTCTATATAACTGTGCCATTACAAGAGGACTCCCAGGGGTAACCGAGTATTTCAAAATAAAGCTACTGGGACAAAGTGCTGAGAGAAGAAAGGATGCATCTACCTGCATTCGCCTGCAGGAGACAAACACATGCAATGAAGTTCTTCAGCTCAGTCAGAAGAGAAGAGAAGAGAAGAGAAGAGAAGAGAAGAGAAGAGAAGAGAAGAGAAGAGAACATTTTCTTAGGCGTCTCTGTCACAGCATCAAAAACAGACGAGATACAATGAATTCATAATCAAACACCACAAAACAAGGGCAACACAACAGAGCTTCCAGTGCATGTGTCCAATTAGCATAACATGCTGGATGGCTGTGTGAAAGACAGACAGACGGAAGGAAATATCAAAACATGCCTCAGCTGTGACACATAATCAAAGGGAAGAAGCTTCTCTACACGAGGGTGTGATATTACACCACCCAGTGATGTTTTGGCAGGATACAGTTTGAAGTGGGTGGTGGTGCTGCTGTCACTGGTCACCATGCATGGTGTGTCTGTGAAGGCAGCGCTCTCTATTAACACTGCCGTGCTTGTGTGTGCCAACAAGTGACGACAGGTAAAACAGGCCCGTAAGTGAAGGGAATCAGAGTGAGTTAAGATGAAGACAAAGGCAGGGACCGGGAAGGTGAGGATGGAATATTCTGGGAGTTTTCTTTTGTTTTGTCATATGAGCTCAACTCCTCAAACTGCCGCGTGAGCACAAGGTGCAAATCTGTGTCTTTAACTTCACACTCAGCCACCCAGGAGACGGATTAAAGCTCAGATCTGTCGGCCATACATTCAGACACTTTAGGTAAAGAGAGAAAAATTGCCTGCTGTAGCACCACTCCAGGAACTTGACCGAGCTGGCCTTCGCTCTGTGTGCACTGAATGATTTGGCAGCGGTGGGATCTCACTGATAACAAACTGGAGAGAGTGGGAGAGAGAGGTTTTCTGTGAGTGAGACTATCAGGTCTGGTTAAAAATACATTTTTATTTATTTTTCTGTCTGTCGACGAAAAATAAAGGAACGGATTGTTCTTTTCACACAGACACGTTGACTCAATTAATGCAAATGGGCACTGCTGTCTCACTCTCGCTCTGCACGCCATAATCAGGCCTTCCGTGTGGACGCAGGGAAAGATAAACTGAGACTTTATGGTCCTTGCTGCCTCGGGCTCGGACAACACACGTCGCACAAGCTGACATTTATGACCTGACGAGAGCTCTGTCTGTACTTTGAACACAGCGTGTGGACCACCGTTTAGTAACTGAGGGTCTCGGCGCTGCTTCCCTGCAGCATCAGGGACCAGGAGAAGGTATTCGGATCCAAGCACGTGGATGTCATACATCATGGCTGAGGTCAAGGAAACTGAATCTGCTCTCTCTATACGATGATCTGAGCGCAGCTTCAGAGCTGCCTCTTTGCTCTCACAGATGCTTCTGGTGGAGTCGGTCAATGAAAAAAAGGCTTAATGTAAATGTAATTTGTTATTTGTGTGTGTGCAAGTCTTCCGCTCTGCCCCACAGCACAAGAAAGAGAACAGCAACTGTGAATCCAAAGCTCCAAATTATTCTCTGTTTCCTCTCTGATCACCAAGTCATTGTCATCAGCGTGTCGTTCAGCCTTGGGGCGCATCTGAGACCCCGACAGTCAGGTGTCCCTCAGCTAAGCGCCCTTAGGGGGCGCTATGGAATCAGGTTTGAGCGCTGGTGGCCCCATTATTACAATTTAATGGTTTATGTGAGTGAAGAGGTAATGTTCCTCTCTCGCTCTCCCTCCCAGCAGAAAGCTGTGTGCTGCTCTTATCTGGCCAGACCTGCTGCAGGAACCAACCTGCAGTGCATTAAACAAGCCACCACACACACACACAAACACACACACAAACAGGGGGTCTACACAGAGTCGCGTGTGTGTGTGAGACTGTGAAAATGAACAGAATAATGAGAGAGGAGCGACAGCCAGAGACAGTTAAGGGAAGGAGAAGGAGAGTTCATCAGGGGGATTGATTGGATGCTCCATTGTCGTGTATATTTGTGAATAATTTATCTCAAATATTACACTCAGAGAAAATGATGAACATGTAATGTGTTCACGCGCTCGCACGGAAGTGACCTGGAGATGAGAAGTTAAATAAAGCTGCGCTAATAGCGGGAGTAATGGTATTAATAGGCAAATGGGTGCAAATTGGCTTTTTAAAATATTAATATTATACATGACACAGCTGAAACTTACGCCTTTGCAGGTGGGTTTATTTGGCACCCAAGCAAAAGGGTCCACGTTTTCCCCAGCCACGCAATATTCTGACTACTTGGGGGTGGACGCATTTTAAAATTAAAGTCTTGAATGGAGCTATAATGTGTGTGTGTGTGTAGGTGTGTGTGTGTGTGTGTGTGTGTGTGATGAAACCTGTCAGCTCTGCAGCCGTCTGAGTCACACCAACTGTGTGTGACAAGTGTCAGGATGGATGTGATTGTGTGTCAGATAAGCTCCGACATGCTGGAAACTTTTGTGTTTTTGTGGAGGGGGTGAAAAATCCCCCCCACACGCATACATACATACACACACATCCACGCGGACTAACTTTATTTCACCACATCTGTCACAAAGCTCGCCTGCGCCTAAAACAAAGATTCAATCAGAGCTTTAACAGCGCGTCAGATCTGAATTCCGAGCACCCCCCACCCCCACCCCCCGGTCTTTCACAGCCGAAGCAGCCGTGCACGTACACATGGGGAGACAGACATGTACATACAGCACGGATGCTACCCGGACTATTAAACTCCAAGCTGCCCGACACGCCACTCTCTCCAAACTAAGCGCGCAGGCACGAGAGGCGGTTTCAAGCTGCCCTCTCTGTGAATTGATTCTACTATGAG